GGAATTATTATGTTCACCTAGGGTTTATGCTAGACTGGTTTAAATCTTTTATCAAACATTCTTAGATTTCCTCGGGTGTTTGCCAACCTTCACTGCATGACTTATTTCACCTCAGCTTTGCTTTCTTCCCACAAGGTACAAATGAGTCAGTACAATCTCCATCAAAAGGCATTATGTTCCAGGGGGTGATTAAGGTGCCAGATTCCACATGGTCAATTCCACAGTTCAAGTCCTAGACCAGTGATTTGAAAATCACACTGGGTACATGTGTGTCCATGCTCAAAATCCCTAGAGGAGAATGGATCGCAACATGGCCATCCCTCCCTGGGGGTGATTTCTCATTTTTTCTCTCCGTTTCTCAGGCAAGCACATGCGGCCTATGGCCAAAAAAAAAAAAAAAAAAAAGGCATTATGCTCCTCTTGCTCTCCAGTACTTGTAGAAAGAGGTGAGAAAAACTGAGTACTAGCTACATGTGTTAAAAATAACTGAAGTTTTTTGTTTTCTCCTTTAGTTTGTTTTTTGCTTGCTTGAGTGGTCTGCTCAGGAAATGGCCTTGTAGCGAAGTGGGTTTTTGAGGTTTGGCTATTTCACAAGGTTTCTATACCTTTTGGTTTTACAGGAGAACAAACACCTAAGAATTGCTGCTGGCTTTTACAAAAGTCTTCAGTTCCACTAAGACACTATTTACAGATCTTTAAATTTGGAGTAAAAGGACTATGGAGACATCTATGCAAGTTTTTCTTTCTTAGACTAACCTCTCTTCCCTCCCTCCCTCCCTAACGAGAGAAGAAAATTAGTGAAAAATTGTTCTGAAGTAAGGACTCGAGGAAAGTAGTTACCATTTATTTTATTAAGCATCTTTTTGCTTAATAAATAATTGAAAAAGTTCTATTTTTCTTGAAAGTGAGGACATTCTAAGGGGACAGAGAAATTATGAAATACCTTTTTTTTTTTTATTTCCAGAGGGCATATGCACTTGCAAGAGAAAAACAGAGAGGGACCAGCAGTTAGCATAATGGCTATGTCGCTGGACTCCCACGTAATCGACCACAGTTCGAGTCCCGGACCCGGTGGCTTAAACTCACGCCGGGCACGTGTGCATGCGTGCCCAAGATCCCAAGAGGAGAATGGAGGAGAAGGGATTGCGGCATGGCCATCCCCCCTGGGGGGTGATTTCTTGCTTTCTATCTCTCTGTCTCTCTCTGTCTTTCTGGCGAGCGCACGTACCCTATAGC